ACCCTTATATCGAGGAGGCAGGAACGCGCCAGTCGGCGACGTGATCCGCCGCCTTAAAGCATCAGAAACAAGTTCCGGTTTCCGATTCGCTTGCAGCTGCATGTCCGTGTGTTCTGACGTATGCGCGGATGAGGCTGTCCCGATCCAAGGTAGAATTTCTTCTCATAAGTTCGATTGAGCGTGATGGGGACCTTCACACTGAACCCCTGGAGCGTGTTCGGAGAGCCTTTTCCCCGTCGTCTGGGTGCCGACGGGAAGCGTCTCGCTCTCCCTTCTCTAATGTCTACTGTCCCTTTGTACGATGCAACTACAGGATTCATCGGGATCCATATTTTGGTACAGTTGGAGCCCGAGGGATCGTCTAATACATTCAGTACGAAGCCAGAATCGGGGCAAGCTGGAGTCCGACCGCCTGGAGACCGACTCTTGGGGACCGTAGGACGCGGGACATAATCGTATCCTAATCTCTTGCTGGAAATGAACCTTCTTCGTGCATATCCCCTGAGAAAAGCGCCCGTCCCAGCCTCGATACCACCCTCGCGAGAGGCCTTTCCCTCTCCAATGTTGGGGCAGAGATCGAATGTTCCATCTGATGTCCTTCTAGGAAAGCGAAAATGATACCCCAACCTATTCCCAACAAGAAGCTCACGCGGAGATCCATCGTTTCCGGATCCAGAATCCTGAGTGAGCTGGAGGTCGATCTTCTCGTCAAAAGTCTGGGTCTTCTCAAGGTGCCTTGAGCCGCTTAAGACGAATCCTGTGGACTTCTTCGAGCGAGCCATGGCACTACTACCGATCTCCTCAGAGAAACACTTCCGGAGCAACCGAAAGGAGGAGCGGATTCGGCACCCTGCTCACGGTGCAGGGATCGGGGCAGACTGCGCGTATCTTCGGCTCAAGCTCAGCGTCGGATAATCGATTTCGAAATTCCGGGGCGAAAGCCCACAATCATTGTGCGATCGCAGCAAGATCGGGTCTTCTCTGACCCTCCTGAAAGATCGAATACGCGAGGGTGACCAAGAACCTCAACGATTCCCATCGAACATTTTTCTGCGAAAATTGGTGCCCCGGGCTTGGAGCAGGAGCTCGAACATGAGCGGATCCGTGCCCCTTCGTAGAACGACCCGGAGAGTTTCTCTGAGTGAGCGATTCTCCCTACCCCTAGCCCGGGGTTTCCCGGTGAGCAGGGTTTTCAAAGCCACGCACGAAATCCGTGGTCCTTCAAGGTCTCTTTCTCGGTGTGTTTCCCATCTCTATCCATGCGACTGGGTGCAGGGGGACCCCGAGGAATACGCTATGCCCTGTGAGCACCTTCTTCCAGGATTCTATCCCATGCCCAGCTCCGTCGCGAGACAACACAACGGTGATCACTTCCGTAGATTGCGTTTCTCCAATGGGGTATTCTTCTAGACCCCATCACCGGCTCTACTTTGAAGCATGAAAGTATCGTCAACTTCTGCGGTGTCCATCATTCATTGAAACAGTGGGAGAGTCGCATTTTCCGAATCACACGAAGACGAGAATGGACATGGTGCAACGACGCTGTCGTTCGATTCTGACTGTTCACGTGTGACCTGAGGTTTCCCGGTCCCCGAATTCGCTCCAATGGTGGGAATGAATGCCTGCGTGGGAACTGCGGCCGAGCTCTTGCGAACCAGGAGAGCTTGCGGTGACACAGCATCGAGCTTGAAGACAGAATCTGATCCTGCTGCTCTCCCAAAGCACTGAGCATCTCAGATAGATTCTTTTCAGAAGATCGCTCCAGAATCTTACGCAGTGCGAAGCAGACGGCACGCCGCCTCACGCGCTGCTACCGTTTAGAGTCCCGCTCCGAAGCGTTCTTATCTCGCAAGAGACACCCGTGGGCTCTTCGAGAGTATCTAGAAATGTCGACGAATGAGGTAAGTTCTAGCTTGCTTCAGGGTCTCGATGCGATAAACGACAGACCGATTCATTCACCCCTAGAGCCTACGGTACCTAATCGGGGGAGAAAATACAGTGCAGTGGCTGCACGGGGCCAAAAAGGTCCGAGAGGTTACGCGGTTCACACATTTCCGGAGCCCCCTCAGGCTTGATAGCTCCTGAGATCAACTTCTGAGCCTTGACTCGAGACACACGGCGAACGATTGGAGATTCATCGCCCAAGACCGAAAATCCGAAGAGTACCCTTGGAGCGTCGTTGAAGAGCTTGCCTCCGTAGCATGAAACGAAGCCCTTCCATCGCTGCTAGGCAATCTAATCACCCATCAAACAGTTCGAAGATCCTATGGGGGCATCGTCTGAGGGGAATCGAGCTCTCATGAGAAACAAGCGGGGAACATTCCTTTAGTACTTTATTCGCTTACTTTCTTCCAAGTATTCGATTATATTACAATTTATTAAATACAAAGCGGCAAGTTAATACAGAATGCATATTTAGAAATGCACACAGACCACGAATGTGGAGGTCCAGGGCAGCATCGCGAAGCTCAAACACAATAATTTCAACTGTCCTTCAGGGGTATAACTTCGTCTTGTTCGTCATCATTCACCGTCGTCTAGAACCGTCCATACCCGGAGTCCAGTCCTGGAGTTTCACCTTACATAGTTCGACTACCGAGAGTTTCGCAACCGAAAGTTCACAGTGATCACAACCCGCGGGAGAACAAGCGGCAGATTCTAAAGGCATGTCTGTCATCATGAGTCGAATATGGAGCGAGACCTCTCATCCATCCGACCGAGTCTGCTCTATTCGCACGAGCCTTGCGGGAGCCACTGCACGGAAAGACATTCAGTATTTTCAGCTTTCACTCCTGCTTAAAATTAGTCCCCTTAGAATTATGTACAGAAAAACAGTGGAAAGCTCTCATTGTTGCGTTGAGAGACGTTCATTAGAATCGACGAATCACCCGGCTCCGCGCATGACCGCCGCACCGGTTAGCAATATTCTCGAATTTTGTCTTGAATTTAGTTTAGGGATAATTGCCATCGATCTTCACCTGTCAGCCGAACTCGATGGGATCGTTGGAAGGATCGCCTCTTACTCCAATCTATTTATACATACAAAGTCAGGAGGCCCCTAGAGCCGCGACAAACTAACTCAGAAAGCTATTCTTGTACCCAAGTAGGCTCATCCATTTCCAACGACCACAACCCACTGACACGATTCGATCGGAACGGATTGTCTAAGGAGCCGTGACACCGAGTCAGCGATGAGACAAATTTTCCCCTTACAAAATGCGGGCGGCACGAACGTCAGTATCGGCCGTCCATAAATTTCCTCCGGTGGCTTGTATCTGCGTGCTTCACGCGCTCGAAGTGATCACAGAATTAGTAGGAAAAACGTCTCCGGCACGATATCAAGGAGGTCAGCTCGAAATCCAGTCGCAAAACATAAAAAAAGAATGGAAAAATCAGAAGAAGATGCGCGACACGACAATAGAAACAGTTATTCAGCCACGCGGCACGTATAAATTTCACCTGTCATGTGGGAATTACGAAAGTCATACATCTCGTCGGTTCTATAGTCAAAGAGACGGAAGATTCTCCGTGTTGGAGAAAAATAAATCGAGGTCTGGAGTGAAGGATTGGAAGAAGATCGCGGATCTCAGGATGGAACGCGGATCCACGCTAGGGAAAAACTTGTGATAAGGTTTCATCGGTTTCGGGTTCGTCGTATATTCTTCCATTGGCCAAACGTGCAGGAATGCCGGCCATAACAATCAGCTCGAATATATGCCTCTCCGGTATGGGCTCGGAGGGAAGGCCGACCACACGACATCGGCATCTCTTAAGGTGAATACCGGGAGCCCACTGAGAAATTGATCTATCTTGCTCTCTCCCTCCAAGTCTATAATGGAGGCCTATATTCGAGCGTCGGATGCTGGACGCAAAAATAAATAACCATCCATATCTCTGTGTCTAAAATTTGTTGGCGTTACAATCTAGAGGAGGCTGTAGCATGTGCCATCAGGCCATCGCTTCCGTTCTTACTTATGTACAGTCATGCTAACGAGCCTCCTTTAAAGCATTGCACCTCGGATAGAGTTGTGACTCTTGGCTTTTTGGCACCTTTCTCTGTTTCGATCAAAAGTGAGCGCTTCTGACTCTCGACTGTCGTCTCAACTGGGGAGGAAGACCGATTCTGGCGAGGGAAATCCCACATCTCCCTCCTCTCTTAGTCCTCCTCGTGTGCTTCTTTGCGGAGGAGACTTCGAGGCACTTGTTCCCTAGTTGTAGTGATTGTCAGGATATTGACCGAATTGCGTTAATTCAGACTTCTCCGTTTGCGACACAGATTGGTACTGCCCATTGCTCGGAAGGTTCCGCTTGAAGAAGCCGTACTGAAAAGATCGAGCTCAATGAGCTTGCTGTTTTCGTTGATGTTCGGGATACAGATCGCGAGATATCAACTCATTGGAGAGTTCCGCGATATCGGATGGACGAGGAATGAGCACGATCATACCGTCAATGAGGGGACTCGCTCACCTTGTACAAACAGTAGATGATCGCCACCAACAACAGGATCCCTATCAGGACACCTAGAATGATTGCCCACAAAGGGAAACCTTCGGAACGCTGGTAGAGACTGGCGTCTGGTTCCGCCTTGGTCTCGGCTTCAGCGTAATCATTGGTGGTATTCTGCCGAATGTCGACGTCCGGATCCAAACGGACCTCCGCCGATGAGAAGATGCTCACCTGGTCAACTTGGGGGTAGTCCTGCGGAGTACAGAATAGACTTAATCGCGAATTCGGATCGATTCCGTGAAGATTTCGGATCCATGGAGTGTCACCACGGTAAACTTCGAAGCTCCACATAAGGGAATTGTCAAGATCAGATGGCTCACCTCAACAAAGGTTGCGTTCCACAGCCTAGCCTTGATCGAGATCAGGGCTCTTGTGTGCTTTTTCAGATTCGTTACTGTACAGACAAAATCGACGCATCGCGTGTTCACGCCGCACCGCATCGATACCACACTCCTAATTCGTCCGCCGACCCTAACGCTTTCGGCTGGAACGATGACGTCTCTTTTCGATCTCGTCAAGATCTGGCGAGTGTAGTTTCGTTCGTGGACGAATTTTCGTGAGTATATCGTTCTGGAACAGGGAGATTTTTTCATGAGATCGACTGTCTGGGGAGGCGCTCTAGGGAGTGCAGTTACGGAGAGAACACCTCAAACCCATGATTTTATGATTTACCTCGCGGTCGTGGATTTTTCCGGGGCATCGTAGTCACCGTAATCGTCGTAATCTTCGTTGGCCGTATCCGGAATCTCGGTCGTGGTCGTGGTGGTTCGCCTCGGAGCAGGATCGGTGGATTTTTTCTGAACTCGTGGTTGAGCCCTCGACGCGGCTGCCTTCGGAGCCTCGGTTGCGACAAGCGGCTTGCTCGCCGACCTCAATCCAAGAGGATCGATCGAGTCCGGTTTGAGGGCGCGACAGGATGTCGTCTGTTTACCGACGCTCACTTGGGGCATATCGGTCAGATAAAGCAAGTATTTCCCGTTTTTGCGCATATTCTCAACCTCCAGAGGCCATCGAAGATACACCGAGAACTCGGGCACCAGGTAGGGCCCGTAGTTGAAGACGGAATAAACGTGCATGACCTCACTTCCGATATCTACTTCCGACTTCATCGCCGAAGCTCCAATGACTTGACCGCCATAGAGCACTTGCTCGGGCGTTGCTTTGCCCTTGATTTCGAGTTCTGCGGCTCGAACTATGTTGACATTGTACTCTATGGGAGCCTGGTTCCTGGTGTCTCTGGACGAGGTCGAAGTCCTGACGGTGAACTTTACGCTAGTCAACTCATCAGCCTCGTTTTCGGGCTTGAATTTCAGGAGTAATTCGATTCTTTCCCCGATCTCCATGGGGTTCCCGAGGTCACAGCGAACGAGACTTTTTCCTTGGTTGTCCTCGTCGTTCCTCTCCTCGACGCAGTCGAGTACATTTTTATTTGACAAAACCGCTCTACCGATGAAAGAGAACTCCTTCGGGTGTTCGACAATGAGATCGGCGTCGTATGCGGGTTCTCCGGTGTTTTCGATAATTGTCGATATGTTGAGCCCCTCGGTGCCAAGATAAAAAACGTGTTCTCCTTTTTCCTGCGGCAAATTCATAAGGGCCTTCGTGTGAAGTGCCGACTCGCAGATCTCATCATCTCCGCAGTTCTTGATGAAGTTCGCCTTGATGATGAGAGTTCCGAGCTTCTGATTGAGGATGGGATAGCGATCGATGAGCACGACCTGTTCAGTGCTCGACCTCGATAGTTCATCGATATCGTCAACGATGTTCAAAGTGAGTTTCAGTCGAATCGTGTTATGGATGTCTGAGCGATCGACGAGGATGAGGTTTCCTTTCGTACACAGGCTCGAGGTTGATAGGCTCATTTTCCTCTCGTATATGTGTGGATGGTCTGTGTCCTTCGCTTCCTTGAAGATTACCCTCGATTTTTTCTTGTGTTCTAAGAAAGTCTCGGCTTCGATTCTCTGAATGATCTCCAAACCCCCTGATTGGTAGCCGTACTGAGATGGGCTTGTGAGGCACACCTCGAACGAGGTACAGACTTCGCTGCTCGACATGCATTTACGGGCCGTGGGGTCGATTTGGTCTATGTACTGGAGTTCGGCCTTGATGTCCCTGATGGGCCTCGCGTATACCGCAAAAACCCTATCTGAAGCGTAGGCTCCAATCACGAGATCGGGGTATTTGTTGTTGTCGAGGTCGACACCGCCCGACAAGGAATATCCGAACGTCGTCGTCGGCGGTGACAGCATCCTGCTTCTGCCGAGATCCGATGCTCGAATGATCTGCGAGGGTCTAGGGCTCAAACCCTCGCTGTTTCCCAGATACAGATAAACTGCCCCGGCGTCCTCGTACGGAGCTCCGATTGCGACATCTGAAATCAATAGCATCCTCGCTCAGCGGGGAGCATTCTCTGGGTGTTCTTTCATCAATCTGGTGAGTATGTTTTTTTCTCCGAAATTCCGATGAGCTCTAGAAATATCCGACGAGTCTCACCGTTAAACCCGTCGCGATCGACATCACCCATCCCGGTGATGGCGAAACCAAATCTGGATTCCTCTTGATTCCCGACGATTTTCTGTCGCTTAGTGCTCGGGGAAATGAATTTCGGCGGTCCCTCGTTCATGAAGACGTATACGGCGCCTCCGAGACCGTCTTCGAAATAGAATGGTGCACCCACAATCAAGTCATCGAACTTGTCGCGATTGATATCGACGGCTGCGATAACATATCCGAATGACGATGCGACTTGTTCGCCTGAGGGTAATATTGAGTTCTAATTATCAGACGGACGAGAATATCTGTACGATCGCGTTTCTTTAGAAAACCTTCTCCGAATGGCGCTACCGGAACTTTGCTTCCGAATTCTATTCTCGACGCAACCCAGAGCTTGAGGCACTCCGATCAGTGCCGAGAAGCATGCGGACGAAACGAATAATTTGCTTACCGACGAGGGTTCGATTCAACTCGAGTTCATTGGTGTTGGGCGCGCGATTCTTCTCGAAGAGCAGAACCGCGCCCGTGTCGTTAGCTCTCGGGGCGCCGGACGCCCAGGCGTGCTGGAACTTGTCGAAGAAATGCCCCGTCGTAACGGACATGCCCAGATACGCATAGTTCTCTACAGGGTTATCTGCGTCAGTGTGGGTTGCCACCCATTCTCGGTGGAAACCGTTGGTGTATCTGCTTTGGAAAGCGTAAACGGCTCCACGCCACGTTTTCGCGCCAGGGACTCCGATCGATTGAACATTGAAGTCTTTGCTGAGATGGCAACTGGTTCCCGCTTGACAAAGTCCGAAATCCTGATGATATTTGTTGTAGGCTTTGCCTTGGCAGGGCATCCGGATATCCTCGTACGCGAGATTCGTTGTATACTTGAAGCATACTCCTAATCCTAATTGCTGAGCGGAACGCGGGTCGGTAGAGCTGCCTTCTCCACCCAGATCGGGTTTAGTGAAACGATGCGCGCACGTCTGGAAATATGCGGAATATTCGTCAGGGACTGCAAAATCTACGGGGCTCCAGATCTTCCTCGACTCTTCCGTTCTATTCTGTCCCTGTTCACCAGAGACCACACGACTGACAGGGACCTTTCAGAACAAAAAATCAAATAAGGAAAGATACTCACCAGCACTCCGTATTCATGACCCGAAGAGACCGAAACACCGAGCCACATGCCGGTAGCATTCTCGCTGCCTTCGAATGACTGAGAGCTGGAGGACGGCTTCAGTGGAAGGCTCTCGCAATGGTGGTTTCCCTTATAACGCCTTCCGACATCTCCGAAGATGTCGCAGGACATTACTTCGCCCCTATTGTTTTTCAGCGGGGCGCCGACGATGATCCTGGAAGCAAAAGAACGTCCATGAAACTCTCTATTCCGTAGACCCGCGAGTGCAGAAATCCGCAGCTCGTTCGAAAATTCCCGCAGTTCACTTTTTCTCCAGTCCTGCGGAAGCGCTTCCGCCGCTGATGGATCTGTCAACACATCGATTGCTCAGAGGCTCAGAGGGATTTTTCGTATATGTTGAGGCGGGTATATGCTGCTTCGCTTAGCTACGGCAAGTCCGAACTGAACGTATCCTGCATATTTCATTCCTGCGAGTTCGATTCTGGAAAACTCGGGCGGACAGATCAAGCTCAAGGTTATTCTCTATTTTCGCTGTCATCTGGTTCCTGATATCCTGCGGATGAATTGATTCCCGAGAAACTTTCGGAAGGGAAACTCCCGAGAAAACTTCCCGATTCGGAGCAGAAAAAAATGGACCACCCTCCCTCGGCTCAAATGAAACGGTTCTGCTTTGCTTGGGCGTATTTCACTGAAGCAAAAAGGCCTCCTCCACGTTCTCCCTCTTCTCATTCCCAACAAGGGGCCTTAGTCCAACAAAAGTGTGAAAAACGAATCAAAAGTACGCGAATGACGAGCAACAAAAATCGTCGTCGGGGCCTCTAGTGCGGCATTGAACCAAGGAACGGTGTTACACAAACTGGGTTCAATAACGTATTCATTAACGGCTCGAACAGGCTTCCACGGGTCGAGGAGTTCTTGAGGGCTCGATCAATGCATGTTTTCTCCACGGACAAGCTGGAGGGGCTTCCTTCTTTTTTCCCACTGACTCATCGCCGTGGTCAGCTCAGTGTTTTTTTTTGTCGTTCCGTCCAAATGATAGTATTCGGTGTGAGATCGTCCTTGTCCTAGTATTGCATTTCTCCGAGAATCGGTGCCGTTCTCGTTGAAAGGCTCCGAATAGGAGTTGTTTAGCTACCTGACCTAGTGCAGCGGTTCTCCGTTCGACGCGTTAATGTAAACTGAGCCACACGAGCAGGCCTGGCAACGTGAGGAAGTAGGTCTCGAGACGGCAACAGAAGCTTCGCCGCTGCTGCTCCGAGATGACGGTTTTAGAAAAGACGAAGGTCTTAGAAGCGACCAGCGCAGCAGAGGCGATGCTACTGACGATCATTCCGCTTCAAGAATGGAGCGCCTCTCAGAGCACGCGTCACAATGAATAAATTGGCATGCCATTCACACAAGGGATTAACTCAACACGAAGATCGAATTGGCTTTCGTTGCCGATACGGCTTAGGAGGTTTTCTCTGATTGACATCCGAAGGGTCCGAAGCTCCGCTAATCGTGGCATTTTGGAGCGTGACCGTGGATGGACGACGACGTGTATGGGAGAACGATCTATTTTCACGCCTTCATGACCGTGGAGACGGCGGAATTCAATAACCGGCAGCGAAAAGAGTTCTCGATCCTGCGAGGCTTCCGATTCCATGTCACGAGGATTTTCTCCCCGATTCCGGAATGGATGAATCAGTGGATGAGATGCTCTTGATACTCATTGAGTAGAAGGTCCAGCGAATTGGTGGAGACCACCCGCTGTCATCGAAAAGCTCCGCTCATTGACCACACCTTGAATTAAGCACACGAGTCCTCTTCTCCGTCCATCTGCTTTTCGAGCTTAATTGCGATCCGTCTCCCGAGCTTCGTTTGTTGGTCGCTCGGTCGACCGTCCGAGCGTCCGTCCGCGTTTCCGTCCATCTGATGTCTCTCCCGACAGCCAGAAGCGAGCTCATACGCCGAATGAATCTCCGCGGACGACGTCAGAGCTTGGGTGGAGTTGATTTGCATTTACTTAGTATACAAACACTCAGCCACCGAGCAACCACCCAAAAGATAGACACGAAGACAGACAGATCGGCTGACCAATGGACGATGCCGGGTACCCTTGCTGCGCTCTGGGGAAGCTTGAGTTCGCGCCCGAAAATTTCCCATACGTTTATCTGACTCGCTCGATAGATTCGACCGAGTGATCGGTCGAGAGATCGAGAGAGCACTCGACAGAAACGCTTACGGTCACGAGAGAGGAAAGATAGCGACCGACCGACTCGCCTCGCGCGACTTTTCTCTCAGAGGAGTCGTGGAGCTTTCGGTTTACCTGCGTGTCAGTCCTTTCGTGCTGATCACGCCTACTACTCCTTAGGGGAATTGAATCCCCCCGCCAGAACGTCGCGTGATCCGTCGACAACTCCAGGATTCCGCGACGAATCCTCGCTGACTGAGAAAAATGATTTGTCGGGCGTCTTGACGTTGTGTACAATTGTACGTACCTAGGTAATCACTCGATATCCGGCTCCTCCGACAGGAGCGATGATCCTGGTGAGCGAGCCATCCTCGGAAGCAGCGTCGACTCCGAGACAAGAAATCCTCTGGACTTCTCGATGCTCATGTCTCATGTCCTTGGCCCTGTCGGATCTGTCTCGCTGTCGAGCTCGATCTGAATGGATCGATCAATAAACGCTGACCGACGGCCACGACGCGGAAAAATCGCTGTGATCGAATAGCACGGCGCGAACAAAGACATGCGCGATTTTTCTCAATGAACGTAGTAAATAGTAGTTCGGTCGTATTTCGCCGGTCGATTGTAGCCGATCGTCGTTGGTGTGTCTCTTTTTTCCTTACTCGTGAATGATTCATTCAAGCATTCACACAACCATTCAGCGAACGGCTTCCTACGGTATGATTGCGTAGACTCTCCTTCTCGCTTCTCTTAATTCTTAAATGGACTGTCGCCGACGACCACGCGTACATTCCGTCAATGGAAATTCAATGCGGAGGCGTGACTCCGTCAACATCCCGGCTGAATTTGGAACGAGAGGATTCCGTCGAAAGTTCTCTTTGCCGTTCACGGTACGGCAGGGATCCCGTCGTGGATTCCGATCGGTTTGATCTCGGGTATTCCTTCACGAAGAAGCTCAGAGGATCATTCGCCCTGCGGGAAAGATAGGGTCGGGGAGGGGCGAGGGGATTCTCTAGCGGATATCACATTCGGAGCGAGTCCCAATATTCTGATCTAATATCGAAGGCAAGGCTCTCGCAGACACAGTAGGATTCGAATGAGCCTGCTACGAGGGTTTTCACAGCGTCGAAAAGTTTCGAAAACTTCAATCAGTGAGCCGTGATAGATCCGGTGGCGCTCGGTCAAGCGGCGGAACAATCATAACTATAAATCGAGAGGCCGACTGCCGCGTTACCCGGTTCCTCTCAAGACGAGTCCCCGACGCTGTGAAATTCTCAACGGTCGAGGAAGTCGAATGCAGACGACTTCGAGTCGAACTCCAATATTTCGTGACCATACCACTACGGCCCGACTACGACATCACGGAAGGGGAAGCCGAGACTCCCTCCGACTATAGTTTACACATGTCGTTGATGTGGCGGAGATTTCAACGTCCGACCACACATCGGGTCCCGTGCCGACAAAACATCTCCCAATGACTGTTTTTCCTCCACTCTGTCGCGTCCATGCAGATCTCCACGAGCCGCACAGCACTCTGACATAAACGAGAGAACATAACACGCCGGTAAATGCTAAACAAAAGACTGGTGGTAAAGATTGGCCCTGCGCTCCCGGGTTAATGTCACCTTCTCCCATTTATAACATTCGGAGGCTCCTAATGTCCTTTTTCGAACAGACGGAGATCAGCTGCACGACTTAAGCCCAGCATCGCGGTTATGGAGATGACTGAATAGCCGACTTCCATGTAGGCGTCTGTCAAGCGACCGACGACGTGGGGGTGTCGCATGGTGCCGACTCGCTTCTTTTCTTCTCTGACTGGCAATGGAGAAAAGTCGAACTGCGTTGGCAGTCGAGGTGTGATCGAGTAGCTGCTTTCTGGTGGCAAGGTGGCAGCTCTCCTCAGGTCCAGGATCTCGAACGAAAGTGACGCCCGGCCAGACCATCAGAAATTCGGGATTGCTCGCCAAGATCATAATCATGAATGACCGAATCGGAGACGCGTAATCGGACTCTGGTCGACTGAGATTTCAACTGAGCCACCGACCAACCAACAACTCGATCACCGCGCGATGAGAGACCCGCATCGGTTAGACGTTATGAGTGTTAACCCTCCTCCGAATCGAGAAGGAATTGCGTCCTCGTTCAGACCGATTGCGGTGCCTACCCGCTCATTACGGAGATCCACGAACCGCTCCGTATGGGAGCGATAGATAAGCGGCTAAGGGTCGTGGACGTCGATCCGCTCGGGAGATTCAAGAAGGAGAGAATTTTGGGGGAGTTCCGAAAGGAACGCTCTAGACGAGACCCTTTGTCGGGACAGCGAATTTTTAAACCGTTTCTTGTTTGATCGAACCGCAAGAGGTGACAATGGCTCGCAGGATCGGAAGCTGAACGGGAGAAAAGTTGTTTCTAGATACCATCCGTAGTCGCTCGGAAACTTGACGGCTCCGTTTTGCGATATCAGCACATCATCCTTCCGATAGAATTTCACACCTCATGCGAGCGGCCACCCACATCGCTCACAAACTGTGATACCTGTGAAATCGCAAGAAGCGGAGAGCCGAATCAACATAAACACAGAAGGAGATCGAAGGCTCTGAGACGCGTGAGATAATGATAGCTGCTTCGTTGGGCATAGGTACGATACGCCTGATTACGACATACCCTCATCATGCATCTGGGCAAGCCTACCGGTCGTGTGGCAGAATTTTGTTGGCTTTCGTTTATATCCGTGGCAGTGCGAGAGGTGTTCACACCCGCTCCTATTCGAGTGGACTTATCGTGACAGAGATAAATCCCACTGACCCCACTAGTTGTCGCAGACGGCCTCTCTATTTCTCCGCCATCCTGAGTCGACGATCTTGGGCGACTTTCGCGAGTCAGAGGCCGAGCGATTGAATGAATCAAAAAAGGAAACTTTGCATATTACTCGACGCTTTCCGCTTCCCGGTATCCTTCACGGTATCCGCTCGCAAGAGGGCTTATTTTTTTTTCCGAGATTCCGCTGACGTTTTCGGCACCAAAGTTTTACGCGGAACATTCCG